GCACACTCCAACCCCATCTTCAAAAAAAAAAATAAAAAATTCTGAGATGTTTTTTGGCTCGTTTGGTTTTGCCGGACGGACCCCCCCCAGTCCGTCTGGCCCGGTCTGTCAGGCCCGGTCTGTCTGGACCGGCCGTCGGCTTAACCCAGATGAATAATAAATAAAACACACTTTCCCAAAAAGTAAGCTTTTCCTGTCCGCACTACTGACCCAGAAGAAAACAAAAATAGAATTGTTCCTGAATCACAGCAGTCGAAGTATTAAAACAAGTCTCGTCCCTGCAGCCGTGGATGCACCGAATCGGACACAGACAATGTCGGCCACGGTGCACCAGATAAGAACAGAAAATGCTGGACATAACATAGAGGGAGAGAGAGACAGAGCACTTGGCAGTGGGGGCAGAGGCACAGCACAGAACCCAAGATGCAAAATAATATCATGAAGATAGTGTCTCTGACTCTCTGCCCTTTCTTTTTTTTTCTTTTTTTTGGTTTGGTTAGCGACTTATTGTAACTCGCTGGGACTTGCTGCCTTTATTTTCGCATAGAGATTATGCGCACAACATAATCTCTATGCCATCGTGTGCATAATCTCTATGCCAAAAATATGGCAGAGACACTCGGCTCAATTTTTTTTTTTCATTCACGAGTGTACAGCCTTTCTGAACAGCCGGACAATTAATCCCTTCCTAAGAGGAGGACAATCAAATGATGTCCCGGCCTTTCATCCTTCCACTTCAACTCGGAACGCTGGACCTGGTTCCGAGGAGGTGCTGCTCTCCATCAATAAATCGGAGCCATCGCACTGATGATCGCAGCCGACTGTGGTAATGGAAGCTGCTCTTGACACTTTCACAATCACGGGGCCGCTACAGATGTCTCTTTTTTCTGGAAAAAATTCAACAAAAAGGTAGTGCAAGGATTATGAGCGGGAGCGATGGACAGAAAACCAAGTTGCAAAATCACGAAGCAGCTCAGATAGTCGAATACCAAGAAGAGAGCAAAATGCACCAAGATACCATTCCAATAAGAGCAATACAATGAACTCCGATGTCAACGTTGCCATACTCTGGACACACCAACATAGTATCCACTGTCCCTCCTACTGTGTGGCGCCTGGCACCCAGCCTACTCTACTCAGCCTCTCTAGCCTATCTACGTTCTTGCAGCCAGATCACATCGCTGTTGAAGACCAATGTACGTTGACGTCATCTCCAATGCCGACCGCCAGCATACACCAGGTACATGCTCTCTCTCCTCCCCTCAACACCTCGTCTCCCTTCTTCTTCATGCGCCTCCTACCCGAAGACCACCATCGTCACCTCTAAGCACCCGCACGCTCGGCCCGGCTATGGCCACCGTGCGCCCACTGCCACTGCAGTGCCCTCACCACTTAGCGCCCGCGTGCGCCCCGGCCTGCCGGCATAGCGCAGCTTCGCAGAGCAATGCAGCAGCGTGGCCGCAGTGCCTGCACAGGCCAGAATGCCCCAGCGCTGGGGCAGACACTGTCCTTTATGGAAAGTGTGCCAGTGTCTGGCTGGCCTGGCCAAGCGTGTGGGGGGGCCCAGTAGCTTGCCTCTGGCCCCAAGTGTCTGCGCCCAGACCCAGTTTCCGATACTGGCTTGGGCCCCGTGCAGGCACGTTTGGGCAGCCACGCAGCTTCCAAGTGTTCGCAGCATTCCCATTGGCTGTTGACTCTTGTGTGACTGTGGCATTTGGGTGACACCCAGTAGCTTGCCTCTGGCCCCAAGTGTCTGCGCCCGGACCCAGTTTCCGATACTGGCTTGGGCCCCGTGCAGTTAGGCACGTTTGGGCAGCCACGCAGCTTCCAAGTGTTCGCATCATTCCCATTGGCTATTGACTCTTGTGTGACTGTGGCATTTGGGTGACACCATGTGGGGGCTGGGTGATACCACCCAGTAGCACAAAAAATCAGGAGCACACACAGCAGTAGCATGGTTAGGTTGTATTGTGTGGGCCGGGTTGTGTTATGTGGAAGATTAGTAACATTGACGTGTTAGATCAGTGGACGAAAGTGGATGAAGGACTTCACAGAAATCGAAACACAAACCTTTCTTCCGACGTCCATGCCCGAGAGGTCATCCCGCGGGTCAGGTTCTGTGAATCCTGATGCCTTCGCCTCAGCCACAATTCCGCTGAATGTCTTTTCTCGATTGAAGTTGTTGAAGATGTAACTCAGCGTCCCACTGCACAAAACAGCCGACAGAGTTAATGTAGTGAAAACAATTGGAAAGAGACCTATGCACTGTATGGAGTGGAATTAGACTTGTTGAGCATCAGAGATTGCTGCAGGTTTCCAGCAAGTCTTTGCTGTCCTGGAGATAACTAACCCTTACTCATCACTGTTCCTGTGGTGCTAAGGAATGAGTGCATGATAGTAAAACCCCGTGGATTGCATTCACTTCTCTAATCTTCATTCTTTCTGCTCTTCTTTCCCAGAATATCACAAGTGAAACGTATTTTTCTACCGAGATACAGGGCTGCATCCCTGCCGACCGCCGACCCCGACCGCCGACCGTATTGCAGCCGACCAATAGGGCCGACCGGTCGGTGGTCTGCCGGCCAGTTAAGAAAAAAAAAGAAAAAAAAGAAGGGAAAAAAAAAAAAAACATCCACTGATTACAGCCCAAATCCGCTGAGAAGCTTTCGGGAATGGGGGGGGGTATGGAGGGGTTGGGGTTGGACCGTTGGAGTATGGGGGGGATATAGGGGGGTATATGGGTGATATAGGGGGTACTGGAGGGGGTAACGACGGTGTTGGGGGCGGTCTGGGGGTATGGGTGTATTTGGGCCGCTATGGGTTTGTTGGTGGTGTTATGAGGGGTTCTGGACCCCCCCAATTTTTAATTTTTATTTTTCATTATTATTATTATTATTTCTTTTGCAGGGTGCTGACAACCCCCAACCGGTAGGTGCCGACCAGCCGTTCGGTCGGCGGGTCGGCAGCCGACCAGTCAAGGGCCGCCGACCGTCGGGGGGTGCAACCCTGCCGAGATAGAATAAAGTAAAAGAATTCCACTTTGTCCCTTTCCTCTCTTTGTCAACAAGTAACACGGGTCCTGCAATACTCTGAAGAAATGATAACGAGGCTCTACCTGCTAGTGTAGTATGTGCTCAATGCAGTTCTCTCACAAGAAATGCTCTACCATCCCTGGCCGCTGAAGCTCTACAAGGAAACCGGGACTGACGAGAGGGCAAGAAGGGTCACCCATTCTCTTCATCTCTTCATGTCTTTCATCCCAATCATCTGTCAAAATCCACTCTCTGCATCTTGCTGCTGCTGTGGCTTCTTTTTCGGTTTTACATCTGCTGACCTAAGTTTCCCTCTTCCCAGCCACCTCATCCACACAATCTGTCTCTCTCTCTCTCTCTCTCTCTCTCTCTC